CATACCCTGGCAGAAATTATCGGAATTCGCTGAAAATCAATAGGATTCTGTATAAATTTAAAGTCATTCGGATATTAACTTTGGTCTCTAGAGCGTCCACAAGATTTTTCAAAGTGATCAAGGGCCATAACTCTGGCAGAAATTATCGGAAATCGCTGAAAATCAATAGGATTCTTCATCTCATGACCTTAAACACTGTGTATAAATTTAAAGTTATTCGAATATTAACTTTGGACTCGCGAGCGTCCACAAGATTTTTCAAAGTGATGAAGGGCCATAACTCTGGCAGTAATTATCAGAAATCGCTAAAAATCAACAGACTTCTTCGTCTCATGACCTTAAACACTGTGTATAAATTTAAAGTCATTCGGATATTAACTTTGGACTCTAGAATGTTCACAAGATTTTTCAAAGTGATGAAGGGCCATAACTCTGGCAGTAATTATCAGAAATCACTGAAAATCAATAGGCTTTTTCGTCTCATGACCTTAAACACTGTGTATAAATTTAAAGTCAATCGGATATTAACGGACGGACGGGCGGCGACAATATACAACCACATTTCAATGTGGGCGTATAAAAATGGGGACACTTACGAAAAATGTGTATTTAACGCGAGATGTTACCAAAACAAATTAATCCAAGTATCATTATAGAGCCCCAATAATGAACTATCACATGATACCTAATTGATACACACCCTATATTTTGCAAAACCTCTATTTCACACAAAATATCAAGGGTTTTTTTGATTAAGAGCCTTTTCCAATGCCTTAATCCGGAAAACCAGACCAAGAGATGGATAGAGAACAAGCTAAAAACAAAAACCATTTTTTGTACAATCAGTGGACGCATAATCCAGAAAGTTATGGTCTGAAATGCACAAATATCGAAAGGGACTGAGATTTTTGGAATATAAAGATAATGTTTTAAGTTTCATCAAAATTGTGATGTCTAGAGGGTCTATAACAGGGATGGGATTTCGCCTGTATATTCCAGACTTGTCCGACGCTATTTTCCAAACGCCCACAATTTTCCGACCGGGAATATGCCCAATTGGACATCAAGACATGGTGAATAATATTCAAATTCCAAAATTAATATAGTCTACTGAGTGTATACCTACAACTCAACCCGATTATCGTTGATAATATGCTGGATTGATTAGGTAATTAAGTGATCAACGTATTTATCGTGTTATACCGTCTATACACCTACCTTGATTAACTACTTAATCTGTCTTGATTGGCTGACTTAATCCTTTGTCGGACAGTTCATCAATCTAATCTCAAACGGAAGTCATTGCTTTCCCTTTGTCAGACTATTCATCAATCCAATAAGACTGATCAGAATAATGAAAGTACATATAAAGCCAGTACACCACAGAAGGACTAAGGGTTTAGTAACTTCCATTTCAATTTAATGGAAACAAATCTATTCATGGCTACATAATTTACGTTTTTTCTCATTAAACTAGGTCAACTTCAAACAGTTACACAAAAAAACTTGACGCCTGGCGATAACGTTGAGGAATGGCGTTGGCATAAACTCGCTTATCCCGCCCTAGATTGTTAGCACAATAGCCCACAATTGAGTCAAATGAGGTCCCGTAGGAAATGGTTTTAAAATTATAAGCTTCCATTACCTTTAATAATAGGTAGGTCTACAGCTACACTGTTCGGAAAATTTTCCATATTCACCTCCCGGCTTGAAATTCGTGTCAGTAATATTCCTGAATAAATTACTGTCTTCATTTTTTGGATGGATATAAAATGATACAGCACCGTGGTATTTTTCATAACACAATTTGTAGTTTTTGTCTATCACGTAACTTGCAAATATGTTTTTATTCATTCGTCCATGAGAGACACACGGCACAGTGATCACGTGACAACCATAATTGAAATTGCTTGAAAATAAAATTCCGTACGACTATGCCATATAGTTTCAATAATAATAACGACAATATGTTTAATATTTAGCCTCTGCCAGCATGTGTATCAAATAAAAAATCATAACGGTAAAACTAAACCTAGCATCGCTGGCTTATTGACCTAGAAATTCCAACTGATGTCACGTGTCATCGGCGGATTTGGCATTGAAGATTTTGTCGGAAAAATATATTATTAATGACTGTTTCTCGGTGTATTCGGTGTTCTATCTGAGGATTATATTCAACTAAGATTTAAATTTCTGTAACAACTGGTCAGCGAAACCATTAAATGCATGATCTAATTATTTTTTTATTATCTACCGGTACCTAGAATCTATACGGAGCGTCAAAGAAGCACGATTTGGTGTATTCGGTGTTCTATCTGAGGATTATATTCAACTAAGATTTAAATTTCTGTAACAACTGGTCAGCGAAACCATTAAATGCATGATCCAATTATTATTTTATTATCTACCGGTACCTGGAATCTATACAGAGCGTCGAAGAAGCGCGATTCCCGAGCGAGATTCGCAATCCATACCGAGAGGTATGACTGTTATTGTAGCCAACAAGCAAGTTGATTGACTACTTAATCAAAAAGTAATAATTAACCTGTTAAATTTAGCCAAAAGTAGATTGATTTATGATACCATAGTGGCCGATTCATTGTTTTTACCAATTGGCTTGTTTAAAGGAGCTAAATCGCTAACATTTGGGACCTAGAAATTGATAAAAGTGGGCCGTAACGCATATAATACTGTAATATGAATGTATATAAACTGATTTACATTCAATGGTTTCCGTTTTTACTCCAATTTCAAATCCGTTATGTTCGGCGAAATAAGCCAGCAGTCTCAATCGAGTGCAAATTTCTAGCGTCTGGTTATTCCAGTCTACATACGCTTTTTCCTGAAATTCGAATTCAACCTTCATTATGGTGGAATGGTGATATATTTCAACGGTTTTTAAAATTAGAAAAAAAAATTTGACCTCTATAGAATCCACAAGCTATAAAACATGATTTTTCGTACAATCAAGGGCCATAATCCAGGAAGTTATGGTCTAATATGCGCAAATGTCGAAATGAACCAAGATCTTTGGAACATAAACATATATTTTAGGTTTCATCAAAATCTGATAACAAGTATGACATACTTCTACACTATTTACGTACAAGGGGCTGCTATTTTGTCAGGCAGTTTTGGTACTATTTTTATGAAACTGGAACTCAACCGTCATTAGGGTGTAACAGTGATGAATTTAAATGCTTTTTAAAATTGGATAAAAATTGCTACCTCTCAAGGGACACAAGCTAAAAACTTGATTTTTTGTACAATCTGGGGCCATAATTCAGGAAGTTACGATCGGATATGCGCAATTATCAAAAGGAACCAAGATCTTTGGGTTATAAATATGCATTTCAGGTTTTGGTAATATCAGATGAAAATTGGGACGTCTAGAGTGTTCAGAAGCTAAAAACGTGATTTTCGTACAGAGCATGGGGAGAAGAAACTCTACACAGCCTTAGGCAAAATGAAAAGATAGGTTGCCAGGCAACGAAACATACGCCCACAGTGGCTAAATCGTCCAAGCGGTCGACAAAGGTTGTCGCATATTTATTCCTTTGTAGGTAATTAGGGGCCTTTACAAGACAGTTCCATACAGATCAGATTACAATTTTTGCCGTTTGAAGGTTCACAAGGTTCTATAAATTGAAACAAGGGTCTCAACTCTGGAAGTAAGCTACAGAAATTGTTGAAATTTCACAAATTTAAATGATGCATATAAATTTCATACATATCAGATGATAACTTTCATCAATCGAGCATTAACAAGGTTGAACAAAGTTAAACAAGGGCAATAACTCTAAAAGTAATAAACGGAAATTGCTGAAATTTTATACGATTCTTCTCATTACTAATTCAAATGATGCATGTAAATTTCATACAGATCGGCAGATAACTTTTGATGTTAGAGCATTCACAAAGTTCAATAAAGTGAAACAAGGGCCATAACTCTAGACGTAATAAACAGAAATTGCTGAAATTCAATAAGCTTCTTCGTTTCACTTATTTAAATAATGCATATAAATTTCACAAAGATCGGATGATAACTTTTGGTGTTAGAGCGTTCGCAAGGTTCAATAAAGTGAAACAAGGGCCATAACTCTAGACGTAATACACAGAAATTGCTGAAATTCAAAAGGCTTCTTCATTTCACTAATTTAAATAATGCATATAAATTTCAGAAAGATAGGATGATAATTTTTGGGGTTAGAGCCGTTCACAAGGTTAAACAAAGTGCAACAAGGACCATAAATCTAAAAGTAATGAATGGAAATTATTGAAATTCAATAGGCTTCTTCGTTTCACTAATTTAAATAATGCATATAAGTTTCAGAAAGATAGGATGATAATACTGGGGTTAGAGCGTTCACAAGGTTAAACAAAGTGAAACAAGGGCCATAACTCTAGAAGTAATAAACGGAAATTGCTGAAATTCAATAGGCTTCTTCGTTTCGCTAATTTAAATATTGCATATAAATTTCACAAAGATTTGATGTTAACTTTTGGCATTAGAGCGTTCACAAGGTTCAACAAAGTGAAACAAGGGCCATAACTCTAGACGTTATGAACGGAAATTATTGAAATTAAATAGGCTTCTTCATCTCACTAATGTAAACAACATATATCAATTTTAAAACAATTGGATGATAACTTTTGGCGTTGGCGTTAGAGCGTTTACAAGAAATTGTGGACGACGGACGGGGGCGACGGCAATAAACGTCCACATTTCTATGTGGGCGTATAAAAATGACCTAAACTCTGGCTTCATAGAGAGATTACAATGTTTTGAAAACAAGGGCAATAACTCTGAGAATATATGATGTGAGACTTTAAATTTTGATAAGGTTCACAATTATGTCTAGTTGAAAAGGTCCAGCAACGCTGATGTTGACTGTAACTATAACGTGTCCATTGTGGATGGACAGACAGACTAGGTTGTAAAAATATTATTGATAAAATAATTACCACAGAAAGAGAGAATATATTAAATACAGGTATACCTTGGATTAGTTGACTGTTTTTTAAAACAACCCCTATCCATTAAAAATGTGACTTCCTGCATAGTGTGTGGCACTGAACAGTTCTTCCATGACCAAGTTATAGCATGACCTTGATCAACATGAATAATACTTGGTTGAAACCCATTGTCTGTTACCCTTGCCTCTAGATCCATTTTACGTTTAACATTTACAGTTACTGGCGTGCATCTAATACCAGATCTACACAGGAACAAACAAAATAAACATTAGTTGCTCAACAATCATAATATTCCAAAATAAATTGAACACAAATTCAAAATATTAGTGATCATTCAAAAATTAAAATGGACAAAAAGGTAAATTATTCAAAATGACCCATGCACAATCAAGGGCCATAATTCAGGAAATTACGATACGATATGCGCGAATAATGAAAGGAACCAAGATCTTTGGGTTATAAAGGTATATTTCAAGTTTCATAAAATCAGATCAAAATTGTGCCCTCTATAGGGTCCACAACATTGATGTACCATATTATTACGCTAATTGAGTACGAGGGGCTGCCATTTTGTCCAACAGTTTTGGTCTGTTTTTCACAAGATTCAAACTCAACCATCATTATCGTGTAATGATGATATATTCAAACGCTTTCTTAAATCGGATAAAAATTGTGACGTCTAGAGGGACCACAAGCTAAAAATGCGATTTTTCGTACAATCACAGGCCATAATTCAGGAAGTTACGACCCGAAATGTACGAATATCAAAAGAAACAAAGATCTTGGGGTTTATTGTATATTGGAGTGGGGGTTAATATATATAACACCAAGGTGGTTTCAAAACATGTCTTTATTCTAGGATTGAATAAATCGAACTGCCGGGCTAAAGTTACCTCAGTCCCGACTACAACTTGCCTTACCTTAATCTTAAAGGTACGGTAATGATCTGCAATCAATACATAACAATTATCTCTCTTTATGAAAGTTTGAAAATAGCGTTAATTACTAAGAAAAGTTTATTTATAACGATCTGGAACACGTCTTATACGTTCTGGATATCGACGTTCTGTAACGATTGGTTGATCTGGAGGATTCTGAACTTCAGACAAGATTGGTTTATTAATATCAGTATTGATATTAGTTTTATTAGTTTGACGAGTTGGTATGCCTCTTAACAGTCCGTTCGGGTTAGAATTAAACTGACGACCCAACGTATTTGACGTAAGTGTTGTATCTAATAATTCCGGTGATTTATCCTTTAATTCAAGAGAACGTTTGCGAAGTTGATCCTCGTGTCTTTTCCAAACCTGCTGGTAGACTTGAACATCGTACGAACGTTGCTTTACATCAATAATGATACCAGGTAACCAGCGCGGACCAGATCTCAAATTTAATACATAAACAGGGTCACCAACTTTAAACAATGGTGAGAAAACCGTATTACGATCATATACATCACACTCCTTTCTAAAACTCAAAGAAGGTCTAAGACTTGAAAACCTTGTACGAAGTTGTCGATGCATCAGCAAATAACACGGGCTTTCACCAGTCGCCGAATGTGGTGTTGTTGTTTAATATCATTCGCGAATAGAAACTCGAAGAACTCACTACTAGTAAATTGAGTACCATTATCTGTTACTATGTGTTCGGGAGTACCGAATGTCGAAAATAGCTTCCTAAGTTCTTTAACAGTTGATGTCGTGGTGATAGATTTCATTTGAATGACCTCTAACCATTTCGAATAAGAATCAACGACAATCAAAAAATAGTAACCTAAAAATGGACCGGCGAAATCTAGATGTAATCTCTTCCACGGGCTCGAGGGCCAATTCCACGATGCGACGTCCGGGGATGCAGGCATAGGCGCGTTTTCTTGGCACATTTTACAATGTTTAGTAATTTTTTCTATTTCCTCATTAATTTTCGGCCACCAGAAATACTGTCTGGCAACAGCTTTCATACGGACAGTTCCCAAATGTTCACTATGCAAATCTAACAAAAGAGTCGGTCGTAAATTAACAGGAACTATAACTCTACTTCCCCATAAAACACAGTCTTGTTCGATCGACAGTTCGGTCTTTCTGATAAAATAGGGTTTTAGCTCATCAACATTACAATAATTAGGCCAACCATCTCGGGACAGTTGTAAAACTTTTGATAGAGTTGTGTCATTTCGGGTTTCTGCGGCGATAACTTTTGAAGTTAAAGGAACCTCTTTCAACACAGAGTTTGTAACAAACAAAACTTCGTCGTTATGACAGTTAAAATTACTTCTATCATCTTGTAACGGCGTACGTGATAAGTAATCCGCGCACAGATTATCTTTTGAAGAAACATATTTCACTTCATAACGGTATGCCGATAAGATCAGAGCCCAACGTTTTATACGGGCCGCGGCCAGTTGAGGAATTCCGTTATTTTCTCCGAATAACTTAACCAATGGTTTGTGGTCAGTAAGTAACGTGAATTTTCTACCAAGCAAGTATTGCCTAAATTTTTGTACACCAAATACTATTGATAAGGCTTCCCTCTCAATCTGGGCGTAGTTCTTCTCTGCAGCGGAAAGACTTCGTGACGCGAACGATATGGGTTTCAGTTTACCATCTTCCTCTCGTGGCTGTAGAACAGTACCAATTCCAAACGGCGAGGCATCACAGGAGAGTACTAACTCAGCATCAGGATTATAATGTGCAAGAACTATTTCATCAGACATCATAGATTTTATTTTCTGAAAAATGAGTTCATGTTTATTATTCCAACTCCATTTCTTATCAACCTTTAATAGATCATAAAGTGGAGCCATATGATGTGAAAGGTGTGGTTGAAACCGTGAATAATAGTTCACCATACCAACGAATGATCGCAACTGTGATACGTTAGAAGGTGCCTTTGCTTCTTTAATAGCTTTCACTTTGGATTCAGTAGGATGAATACCATCAGCCGTCACTTTAAATCCTAAATATTCAACTTCAGTCAACAAAAACTTACATTTTTCTTTTCTAAGTTTCAAACCACACGATTTTAAACGCGATAAAACAGCACGGAGATTTTCTAAATGTTCCTCTTCATTACAACCGGTTACTATAATATCATCAAGATAAGCACTCTGTCCAACTAATCCCTTTAAAACAGTTTCAATAGCTCTCTGAAACAAACTCACAGCAGAGCTAACACCAAAAGGTAAGCGTAAGTACTCATAAAGACCACAGTGGGTATTTATTGTTGTTAATCCCCTCGATACGTCATCCAAAGCTATTTGGTGATATGCCTGTGACAAATCCAACTTTGTGAAATATTTTCCACCAGCCAAATTAGAAAAAATATCGTTTATTAAAGGGAGGGGGTAGCGATCAAGCTTAGCCACTTTATTTATTGTAAGTTTATAGTCACCACACAGTCGCAAGCTGCCATTTGGTTTGATCACTGGAACCACTGGTGCTGCCCAGTCCGAATATGTCACTTTCTGAATTAAACCATCACTTTCAAGCCGCTTTAGCTCCTCTTCTATTTTCTTTTTCATAGCAAATGGTACAGATCTAGCTTTACAAAATACTGGAGTAGCATTGTCTACAATGTCTAAATGAATTTTATAATCATTCAAAAGTCCTACTTTGTCCGAAAATAACTCATCAAATTCATCCAATAAACTTGTTAAACTAGCAGAAGACTGAATTGTTGACAGTGTCATGATTTCATCCCAGTTTAGTTTAAGCTCTTGTAACCACGATCTGCCTAACAAAGGTGGGCCATTTCCGTCAACTACAATCAGTGGTAGAAGAGTTTTCTGTCCATTAGTTTCAGCATTTACTATTTTCTCACCGAGAACGTTTATTTTATTTCCGGTATACGAACTAAGTTTAATGTACGACCGAGACAATCGGGAATTTCCATATAGTTCTTCATAATCATGTTTGTTCATAACCGTTACACCTGCACCGGTATCTAACTGAAATTTAACGGGTTTACCGTCAATAAAAACCTTAACGTTTAAAGGGGCACTACCAGTTAGAGAATTTAAAGTAAATAACACATCGGTGTCAGAGTCTGCACTGATCGCATTCGCTTTAAAATTTGGATGTTTTCCAGATTTACGCGACTGTCTGATACGTCTGGACAAGCAAACCTTCGCAATATGTCCTATCTTATGACAGAAATTACACTCAGCCTCTTTAAAATGGCATTTGTCAGACGTATGATTACTTCCACCACAACGAAAACAGGGTTTACGACGTACACTTATATTACTGCTGTCTTGATTGTGTGCTCTTTTGTCTTTAGAGAACGATTTTTGTCCACCAATCCTATGTACAGATGATACTGCGTCATTTGAGGAACTTGTACCTTGTAAAACACTAGCATCGCGTGTAGCATATTCTTGGGCTAAGGCAATGGTGTATGCAATTTCAAAAGTTAGCTCCGTTTCTAACAAAAGCCTCCTTTGTATCCGTTCATCCGCCACTCCACATACAAGTCTGTCTCTAAGCATATTGTTCAGATTGTTACCAAAGTTACAATTTTCAGCAAGTCGACGTAATTCTGAAACGTAGTCGGCTATTGATTCTCCCTGTCGTCTGTGGTACGTATGGAATTTAAAACGTTGCACAGTCTCAGAGGGAGTCGGAGAAAAATAACTTTTTAATATATCAATTATTTCATCAAATGTCTTACTTGCCGGTTTATTTGGTGATATTTGGTTACGAAGAACTGAGTAAGTAGATGGCCCAATAACACTTAACAGGATAGCACGCCTTTTCTGTGCACGTGCGTTGACTGCGGTTGCGTTCGTTTCATCCCTATTCAGTTCAATTTCATCAAGATTATTTGCCACCAAATACTGTTCAAGACGTTCTATATATTGGTCCCATTCATCTTTATTACCACTAAACTGTTCTATTTTACCAAAAGTTGCCATCTTTGATCCTCGTCGCCAATTATTGTATATTGGAGTGGGGGTTAATATATATAACACCAAGGTGGTTTCAAAACATGTCTTTATTCTAGGATTGAATAAATCGAACTGCCGGGCTAAAGTTACCTCAGTCCCGACTACAACTTGCCTTACCTTAATCTTAAAGGTACGGTAATGATCTGCAATCAATACATAACAGGGTTATAAATATGTATTTCAAGTTTCATCAAAATTGGATCAAAATTGTGGCCTCTAGAGGGTCCACAACCTTGATATAGCATATATTTACACTATTTGCAAACAAATCGTGGCCATTAAGGCAGTTTTGGTCCGATTTTCACGAAATTCAAACTTAGCCATCACTACAGTTTAACGGTGTCATTTCAAACGTTTTTTTTTTTTAATCGGATAAAAATTGTTAGCTCTAGAGGGATAACAAGCTTAAAACGTGATTTTTCATACCATCAAGGGCCATACCTCAGGAAGTTACGATCCGATATGCGCGAATATCAAAAGGATACCAAAATCTGATGAAAATTGTGACCTCCAGAGTGTCCACAAGCTAAAAACGTGATTTTTCGTACAATCACGGGCCATAATCCATGAAGTTCCGACCCGATACACGCCAATATCGAACCGAGATCTTTTGGAGATAAACCTATATTTTAAGTTTCATCAAAATAGGATAAGAATTGTGACCTGTAGAGTGTCCATAAACAATTGTGGACAGACGGACAGGGGCGACGGCAATATACGTCAGGATGAAAATTGGACGTATAAAAAGGCACAACTATAGGTTGATGTTTATACAAAGTTTGATGAAGATATCATGAACGGTTTATGAGATATGCTATGGAAACAAAATTGCACACCAAAAACAAAGTCAAATTTGTTTCCATGGAAACACAAAAATTATCAAATCTGAGATATTCCAAATAAGCACAAGACACAACTATAGGTTGATGTTTTTACAAAGTTTCATGGAAGATATCTTGAGCAGCTTATGAAAGATACTACGGAAACAAAATTGCACACCGAAGACTAAGTCAAATTTGTTTCCATGGAAACATAAAAAATATAAATCCTAGAACTTTCTAATTAACAAAAGGCACAACTACTGTAATAGGTTGATGTGTGTACAAAGTTTCAAAAAGATATCTTGAACGGTTTGTGAGACATGCTCCAGAAACAAAATTGAACACCAAAAACTAAGTCAAATTTGTTTCCATGGACACAAAAAATATAAATCCTAGAAATTCCTAAATAGCAAAAGGCACAACTATTGTAATAGTTTAATGTGTGAACAAAGTTTCAACAATATATCTTGAACGGTTATGAGATATGCTCTGGAAATGAAATCAGGACAGACGGACGGACAGAGTCCATTTCATTTTCCCTAACTTCGTTCGGTGTGCCATATTAACACAAAAATATAGTCAGATGCCTCTTCTCAAACAATCTGTTATTCAATTTAGTTGGTTACCAACAAAATTAATTAACCCAAATTTAGTTGTATTGTCAATTCTAACGTAGTCAGATATTTTTACCTATTTTATTTTTGACGGTTTATTTTAGAGTAATGAAGTCAACTCCAGCATCCACATGGAGAAGACGGTCTCTTTCACAATGTACAATGACTCCAGGAATATGATATACAGTTGGCTACTCAAATGGATCCACGAAAACATGGTGGATACAAAGCACTTCTTTGATGTCTGGCCCGAAACTAAGATAAATTTGTTTTAATTGTAACTTGATAGAGTTTGGATCATCATAAAACATACCATTGACATTTCAAAGTACACTATAATGTTAGACTACTTGAAAGGTCGTTGGAACAAAGTACTTTCTCAAATAAATGTTAATTATAACATTATAATAATTACTGTTTCTTCCAGGTTTGAAAACAAAATTGATAGCACTTGAAAAAGAAAAACACTGACAGCACCCATTTCTGGATTCGAAGTAAAACGACCATCTATATTGGTATGCTGCAGCCAGAGACAAAGACGATTCGACACAGTTGCTTTGGAATGAAACAGTGTTGTCGATCACATCCAGAATTACCACCACGAAATGACCAATGCTTGAAACTATATTTCGTTTGGTAAAAGCCGGCAATTAATTATTTCTATTGACGTCATAGATGTTCAAAGCGCCGTCGATAACAATATTACACCCATCTTGTTGTTTTCAAGAAAGCCAATTATTGTACATGTTGACTGTTGTTCTGATCAAAGGGATGCAGGGAATATGGCTACAGCGACTGTCTTTGTTATGGTATTATAAAACAAATTCTAAATTGAATATTAAAGTAAAATAAATTACAAAACAAATTATTCCGAAGTCAGTTGTTTGATTTAATTAAGGACATACGCCGGCTTTATATAAGTTATTAAGGAATAAACGGGAAGTCTATATTTGCGACTTTGAGTGAAGATGGCTGATTTAATTTTAATCAGATTGGTGTGAAATTGCTGTAAAGTGCATATAGTAACCAGAAAATTTTGTTTGGTCACTTGATTTCAGAGTCATAACTCTTGCACCCCTGGGTTACAAATTTTAGGAGTTTTTCTTACAGTGCACCTTAAAATTAAATTTTACTCCAGCAAAAAACCTATGCCTGAAATATGTACATCCCTTCAGTGTGCTTGGTGTTTTTAATTTTTGATTGCTTATTCATATGAAGCATAGAGAAACACCAATAACAGTGGTACAGAAAAACACTCATGTTAACATTAAACTTATAGAAGAGACGAGATTTTTCATAATATGAATTTAAGAATTTTTCAAAATTAGAGAAAGAGAGAGAGAGAGAAATGGGGTTTAACGTCCACTCAACACAAACTAGGTCATATTGGGACTAACATATGGTTTAATTTTATTTCATTAATTCGCTGGAAGGAAACCAGAGAAAACCCACGAGGCTGGACAGGCGACCCTACTCCTTGTCACGTACAACCGGGGATGCGAAACCACGCCAGTTGACTCAATGACAGGTCTAATGATACAGCACGTACATGCTAACCATTCGGCCATCCAACCCCCCTTTCAAAATTAGGAATTTTTCAAAATATGAAGGATTATTTCAAAATTAGAAGGATTAGAAGGATTTTTTTTTATGTTCTCCTGAAATTTGTAACAGAGAAGGACAGCCATGAGTATTTGTATAATAATGATACTTCAATTCTCTACCATAAAAAAATATTATTAAGCATTTTTTTTTCCTCAACTTTAAACTTACAGCGCAAATTTATATTCTCCTTCTATATTAAACTGTTGATGATATAACCCACCACATTCATCCGGATTAACCTGATATCCACCAATAACAGGACGTAATTTCTCACCATCATGAACAACTTGTACCAGACTCATATTTGAAGTGGTTTCTTCCCATATAAAATCAACTACCTATAAAGAATATTAGTTGTATTCCTTTGCTTTTACAACAAGCCAATAGTGAGGCTGATGTCCCCCACCGAAATCCAAAAATAAATAGATGACACATTAATTAATCGCACATTTATTTCAAAAGTATTGAGCAATCAAACTATACACCGAGTTTCATCACTCTCTATCATATAGAATCAAGTTTGAACATTATACCTCAATTAGAAGGAGAGTTATTGTGTCCCAAAGCATCAACCAATCAAATTGCTTGTCCCTGCTTACCCTAAGCAGAAAATGTTCATCTTCGAACTCCATCAAGGTATTGACCTAATAAACACCTACACCAGGTTTGAACATTCTAGCTCAATTAGAAAGAGAGTTATTGTGTCCCAAAAAGTGTGACGGATAGACAGATTGACGGACGACTGACAGACGAACCCATTTTAATAGCACCCTGCTTTCTTCGAAAGGCGGGGGACAACTACGAATAAAAATACATATTATGGAGAGAGAGAGAAATGGGTTTTAACGTCCACTCCACACAAACTAGGTCATTTCGGGACTAACATATGGTTTAATTTTATTTCAATAATTCGCTTGTGCGTAGGAGTCTTTCGCAGAGGGAGGAAACCGGAGGACCCGGAGAAAACCCACAAGGTTGGACAGGCCACCCTACTCCTTGTCCTGTACAACCGGGGATTCAAAACCATGTCAGTTGACTCAATGACAGGCTTTATGATACAGCGCGCACATGCTAACCATTCGGCCATCCAACCCCCCAAATATTATTGACTTAATTAAATTTGTCCACTTTTATCCATTCAGAAGCTTAGCAAATGTTTAAAATCGGCATTGTTTTTGTGTCAATTTGTAATTCCTGCAGAGGTAACATTTGTTTTTAAAGGTTGTTTGTATTGTTCTGCATATGCTTGTTTTTATTATCGTAATTTCGTGTTTTTCCATGAATTTTTCTCGTTGAAAAATGCCAACTTCCATTCGATAACCATGTGTTCTGCGATAGCTACGTGTACACCGATCTCTTTTGTGAATTTAGGTCATTCAACATTTCCGAATGTGCCGATAAAAATTGCAGTGTTTGGCTCGTCGTACATCAAACGTTTAATTCCAGTTGAGCATGGTGTTTATTCTAATCTAATTTTACCATCCAATCTATGTCAGATATCGTAATCGGGTATGGCGGTCTATGCGTTGTGAACGATCGTTATCAACAGCTTTATAAAATTTTGCACTTGAAAATGCCTGCATGTGGTGTTCTGTAATTGTTTACTATTGCAATCTATTTTTCATGCATTTTAAATGGTTATAGCTTATTAAATGCAACATGACCATTTATTTAGTGATTACAAATGGGGGCAACAGAGATAAAGCTTCTTTTATATATATATATATATCACAGCATAATTATCGATATATTTATAGTGGGGCACACTATTTAGAACTAAAAAGAACCAGCGGCTGCCAGGCAGGATACGCCCACAATTTCGAGAGATGGATAGAGAACAAGCTAAAAACGAGATTTTTCGTACAATCAGGGGCCATAATTCAGGAAGTTATGGTCTGATATGTGCGAATATCGAAAGGAACCGAGATCTTTGGGTTATAAACTAACATTTCAAGTTTCAACAAAATCGGATAAAAATTATGACGTCTATAGGGTCCACAACCTTGATAAACCATATTTTTACGCTATTTGAGAACGAAGGGCGGCCATTTTGTCTGTCAGTTTTGAGCCGATTTTCATGAAATTCAAACTCAGTCGTCCTTAGGGTGTAACGGTGATATAATAATACGTTTTTTTAAATCGGATAAAAATTATGACCTCTATAGGGTCCACAAGCTAAAAACATGATTTTTCGTACAATCAGGGGTCATAATTCAGGAAGTTTCATTCCAGATATGCGCGAATATTGGGAGGAACCGAGATCTTTGGGTTATAAACTTACATTTCAAGTTTCAACAAAATCGGATAAAAATTGTGACCTCTATAGGGTCCACAACCATGATATACCATATTTTTACGCTATTTGAGAAGAAGGGGGGCCATTTTGTCTGTCAGTTTTGTGTCGATTTTCATGAAATTCGAACTCAGCTGTTCTTAGGGTGTAACGGTGATATAATAATACGTTTTTTTAAATCGGATAAAAATTATGACCTATATAGGGTCCACAAGCTGAAAACGCAATTTTTCGTACAATCAGGGGCCATAATTCAAGAAGTTACGGTCCGATATGCGCGAATATCGAAAGGAACCAAGATCTTTGGGTTATAAACTTACATTTCAAGTTTCAACAAAATCGTATTAAAATTATGACCTCTATAAGGTCCACAACCTTGATATACCATATTTTTACGCCATTTGAGAACGAAGGGCAGCCATTTTGTCTGTCAGTTTTGGGCCGATTTTCACAAGAATTTGAACTCAGCCGTCCTTCAGGTGTAACGGTGATATAATAATACGATTTTTTAAATCGGATAAAAATTATGACCTCTATAGGGTATACAAGCTAAAAACGCGATTTTTCATACAATCAGGGGCCATAATTCAGGAAATTACGGTCCGATATGCGTGAATATCGAAAGGAACCAAGATCTTTGGGTTATAAATATGTATTTCAAGTTTCAACAAAATTGGATAAAAATTGTGACCTCTATAGGGTCCACAAACCTTGATATACCATATTTTTACGCTATCTGAGAACGAAGGGCGGCGATTATGTCTGTCAGTTTTGGGCCGATTTTCACGAAATTCAAACTCAACCATCCTTAGGGTGTAACGGTGATATAATAATACAAATTTTTTAAATCGGATAAAAATTATGACCTCTATAGGGCCCACAAGCTAAAAACGCGATTTTTCGTACAATCAGGGGCCATAATTCAGGAAGTTATGGTCCAATATACGCGAATATCGAAAGGAACCGAGATCTTGGGGTTATAAACTTACATTTCAAGTTTCAACAAAATTGGATAAAAATTGTGACCTCTATAGGGTCCACAACCTTGATATACCATATTTTTACGCTATTTGAGAATGAAGGGCGGCCATTTTGTCTGTCAATTTTGGGCCGATTTTCACAAAATTCGAACTCAGTCGTCCTTAGGGTGTAACAGTGATATAATAATACGTTTTTTTAAATCGGATAAAAATTATGACCTCTATTGAGTCCACAAGCTAAAAACGTGATTTTTCGTACAATCAGGGGCCATAATTCAGGAAGTTATGTTCCGATATGCGCGAATATCGAAAGGAACCGAGATCTTTTGGTTATAAGCATACATTTCAAGTTTCAATGAAATCGGATAAAAATTGTGACCTGTAGACTGTTCACAAACAATTGTGGACAGACGGATCGGACGGACAGACAGCAGCTTTGTCTTGAGAAAAACATGAGAGCATATTATCCGAAAGGAAAAATTGGCTGTTCACCACAATTGATAAGTCATGTGCCTTAAAAACATACAAGGTAGGTCATGTTCTGAGACCTAGAAAGAGCAGGTAACTCTTGAACAGATGCTTACACAGCACTGAATATCAATAGGGTTTGTCCTTTCATGACTCAAATGCTTCAAACCAAATTTGAAAATAAATCTGTTAAAATTTGGAACTTAGGAACAAAAAGTTCCGAAACGCTGAGAATGGCTAGGACTCATCCTCTCATGATCTAAATGCTTTCCAGCACATAGGAAAATTTTTTTGTTAAAAACAGTAGCCTCTGTTGTGTTGACAAGGTTTTTGGAAAAGGGGCATATCTGTGGTACGAAAGGTCTGTTAAAATTTGGAACTTAGGAACAAAAAGTTCCGAAACGCTGAGAATGGCTAGGATTCATCCTCTCATGATCTAAATGCTTTCCAGCACATAGGAAAATTTTTTTGTTAAAAACAGTAGCCTCTGTTGTGTTGACAAGGTTTTTGGAAAAGGGGCATATCTGTGGTACGAAAGGTCATGGAATGTTCAATATTCAGTCATTTATGCACATATTATAATGAATGTATATAAAGTGATTTATATTCAATTTTTAAAAAAAGTATTGGAATTTTTAATCAATTGTGTACAGTGAAACATGTGAACAGTCCAAATTGAACAATATTCAATTACGCCCGCTAAGTCCATTCTACACATTTTTATTATTATATCGTTTGTGAATCAGCCATTACTAATCACTTCCACATTATCCTTATATTTAATGTTCATTGTGTCTTAAATATTGATATTATCTATATTTTCATGGCAGGATAGCAACATCAATATTGATTGAAATGGACCAATATTGAATTCTAATTTGTGTTTTTAATTTCAAATATTATGGAAAATATTGAGGTTTAGCTCCTTTAGCAATAACTTCTTCACTTTTCAGTTATAAAGACAGGTACCGAAAGCATTAATAGGACACTATTCTGACGCTATTTTCCAAAGGCCTAAAAATGTCCGACCGGGAATATGCCCAGTCAGACATCAAGACATGGCGAATAATATTCAAAATTCCAAAATTAATATAGTGTACTGGGTGTATAACTACCACACAAACCGATTATCATTGATAATTGGCTGGATTGATTAGGTAATTAAGTGATCAACGTATTTATCGTGTTCTACCATCTACACACTTACCTTGATTAACTACTTAATCTGCCATGATTGACTGACTTAATCCTTTGTCGGACAATTCATCAATCTAATCTTAAACAGAAGTCATTGCTTCCCCTTTGTCGGACTATTCATCAATCCAATAAGAGTGATTATAATTTTAATCCAAATGTTTACCTTGTGGTTTCTCCATTGGCGGACATTTTAATCGCATTGATGTGAGCCGACAGCATCTATAAACTAGTCATAGATGAGATGGGATTTCAAAAATTTTCTTCTCAGACATTTTACCGAAAATAAAGCGGCATAACTCTTATCGATATTGAAGCAAACGGATTCACACCACAATTAAAAATCATGTGTCAACAAATTATTCAAATCCTGTACGTACAGTAATAAAAATAGGTGAACCTC